TGAATTATTAGATGAGTTGGTTGTTGTGAGTCTTTGCTACTGATGGTCTGGATCCATGGAACGATTTGCTATGGTTTCTATAATGAATAAATCTGGATGCTACATTGTGGGCACATCTACATATAAGCTTTAGTACAGTAGATTATTTTACTATGTATTAAAGTGTCACATAACAAACCATGCTAATGTGCAGAAAAATAAGCTACTGTGCATTAAGCATCACTTTAAAAAACACAGATTTTCAGTACTGCACATTAGGGCAGCCTAATGCACATTTATCTAGTACCTCGCACTGGAAGGTGCATGTACATGAGCATGGAGGCTGCTCCAACATACTGTAATAACAGTGCATTCCAGCAAACTTGATTAATAGAGTCTGTTGAAGTGTGGCAATTACTGCACTCCAGCAGCGTCCTGCATCTCGTGTATCAGTGTCCCTGAACTTCAAGATGGTGTTCGGGATGCTTGAACAAGCTTTAGTTCAAATGCCCCCACTGCCATTTTGAAGTGCAGGACACTGGTACATGGGATGCTGTGGCTCTTTAATTAGACCAGCTCTCAGAGACACTGTAATTAAAGTACCCATGCCCCCCACCCCTCCCCCAGAAGCACATGTAAAAGTGCCCAGAGGTACAAAATTTAATGTGTATTAGGAAAAGAGCATGAATGGACATATAGATGCACCCTGTGTCACTTAGTTAAAACAAGTCATTCTGATTAACTTTTCAATATAAAAATCTCAGACCGGGGGATTATTATATTCTTCTTGTGGCTAATGACTAACTGATCCTTCCTCCATTTCTTTTAAGTAGAAAGGTGGGATGCAATGCATACCCTAATGTCTGCTTCCAGCTGTGTTAAGAGTAATTTTTAATAGCAACACAGGTTGCACTTCCACATGATCAGGAAAAAACCTGAGCTTCAAAAAAAAATCATATCACATGGGACTGTTTCCATTGAGCAAAATAATTGAGATAGCTTACGTATATATATAGTGCATTGTCTTCCCCCATAGGTTAGCCTGTAAGTCCTAGTAATGCTAAGAGTTATGCTCCAAAAGGGACAGATACATTTGAAGGGTAGCAAGGGCTTAAGGATTCTTTGCACCCATTTCTCCCTTTCCCTTCTCTGTATTTAATGAGCAAGAGCCAGGGATAACTATAATCCTTGAATTCTTCTGAGTGCAGGGAGGAAAGAAGTGAGCTTGTGGGTAAGCTGATGCAGAGGGGAGAGCCCAGTTCACTGTATAGTGGGTGCAATGCTCCTTGTGGTCTAGGAATGTATTTAAGGAGAAGCGTTTCATTGACAATGCTTTTGTGTTTCATTTCTGGGATAGTGCAGCTGTATACCACTACAGATTATTTTGTCTAAAATTAATGTAATCTTAAATAAATATAACCCATAGTGTTTCTAACACATAAATATAAAATTAATTTCAACACAGAAATGTTTACTTGAGTCTCATTGACTTTGTTATGTGATATGTGTGCAGATAGTTTTCCTAACAATGGATAATTTAGTGAGACTTTTGCTTGAAAAAGTGCTGGAAACTTCCATTTTTCAGTTTTTATATGATTTTGTTTGACATGATTCTACTCCAGAGAATTCCAAGGCTACTGAATATTTGATCTGAGGCAAATGAGTCTGAACAAAAATTGTCAATTACTCATGCATTCCAAATTTAACTCTAGCCAGTAGGGATACAAAGGATATTTGGAATGCAAAACAGCAAAATTCACATATCCTTCATAGCCCAATGCTATTTGCAAAAACAAAGGTCCAAGATTGGATCTTCTTGTACTCCTCCTACAGAAGGAATTCTAGTAATAAGAAATAAAACAAAAATATTTCTGAATAGTTCAACAAGGAACTTCTTTGTTACTTGAGTTTTGCTTCACCACATCTTCAATTACTTCCCTAAACAATTATTGTGTACTTTGGGATGAGTTACTTTCTCTCTGTCATTTATTTCAGAAGGGTTGGATTCTGTTCCAGTGTAGAACAAGACCTGGTTTGATATCCTAACCTTTTTCAAGATAACAAAAACATTTTCCACATCCCTCCTCATTCTATTCCTGAGCCTGTAGTTCTGAAGACCACTCAGGCTAAATGTTGAAAAGGTTTGTAAATCCTTAAGGTTCATTCCCATGCCAGACATATGGCAGTGCCCTTTAAAGACAGCCCAGTTTGTCTCAAAGGCTTTTTTATGCCTTTCTGAGCTTCAAGATTTTCCTCTTACATTTGTTTGCCTATTTTATATTCAGCATAGCATTCATTATATTTAGATGTTTTGGAATACAGGTTTAAATCTATGACTAACATAGTTAGCTGTAGCATTTATAAATTATATTTAGTGATGCCTTTTACATTCCCATTGTATTATGCTATTTTTTTGGCCATTTTGAGAACTATATATGTATGTGTGCAGGTGTGTGTTTCCTTCAGGGTTACTCATTAAAGTTAAAATGCAGCAATTATTGAAGAAGTGGGGTAATGACACCATAAAATTCCACTGCCCTATAGGTAACTTCCTTCCTCCAAATGTTTAATCAATGGAATTGATTTCTAATGCATGCTCTATTAAAACACCTTCCTACATGATCAATGGAATTTTAGGAGTCGTATGTGAAGAATCCATGGAAGATAAAAGCAAAATTCAAACTATTTCATTCCAGGACTGTATGTAGTCTGTCTTTACAGTTGAAAGAGGTATTTATCTTTTTTAGTGTGAAGTCATTCATAAGGCAGGGTTGATTTGCAACTCATAGACTAACTAAATCTATATGGAGAGTAAATAAAATGTATGTAATGAGCTTTCATGAGCCTGAGCGCACTTCATCAAATGCTGTGAAAGGACGTGCACAGAGCAGTATATCAAATAGAGACAGTGACTTGAATACAAAAAGACAGAGAAGGGAGGAAAGATGGGGGGCGGGGGGACAGACAGTGTCTGGGCATGGGTGTGGAAGGCACGCTGTCCAAATTCGCTGATGACACCAAGTTGTGGGGTGAGGTGGGCACGCTGGAGGGGAGGGACAGAATCCAACTAGATCTAGACAGGTTGCAGAGGTGGGTGGATGAGAATAGGATGGAGTTCAACACAGGCAAGTTCAAGGTGCTGTGTCTAGGGAGAAGGAACCAGCAACCAACCTATAGGCTGGGGAACACCCTTCTTATCAACACGGTGACAGAAAAGGGATCTTGGAGTCATTGTTGACTCCAGGATGAACATGGGCTGCCAATGTGAGGAAGCGGTTAGTAAAACTAACCGCACCTTGTTGTGCATCTACAGATGCATCACAGACAGGTCCAAGGAGGTGATCCTTCCCCTCTATGTGGCGCTGGTAAGGCCGCAGTTGGAGTACTGCATCCAGTTCTGGGCACCGCACTTCAAGAGGGAAGTGGCTAGCATTGAGAGGGTCCAGAGGAGGGCCACTCGCATGGTCAAGGGGCAGTGGGTCAGGCCCTACGAAGAGAGGCTGAAGGGCCTAAACCTATTCAGCCTCCACAAGAGAAGGCTGAGAGGGGATCTGGTAGCCCTTTACAAACTCACCAAGGGGGACCAGTGGGAATTTGGGGAGGCTCTGTTCCCCCGGGCACCACCCAGGGTTACTAGGAATAACAGCCACAAATTGTTAGAGAAGGTTCAGGCTGGACATCAGGAGACATTACTTTACAGTTAGGGCTGCCAGGCTCTGGACTGGGCTCCCAAGTGAGGTGGTAGTTTCTCCAACCTTGGGGGTCTTCAAGAGGAGGCTGCACAGATATCTGGCTGGGGTGATAAGACCCTGGCACCCTTTCCTGCTGGGGACAGGGCATCAGACCTGATGATCTGTTTAGGGCCCTTCCAACCCTAGGTACTATGATACTATAACTATGATGATAACTCTGAGATTTCAGATAAGAATCCACAGTGTCAAATGCATCCAGACTTGTTGTGGTCTTGAGTTCTTTTCAACAGAAGAATTGCTCTATTATTATTTTATATTCAGAAAATGAATGAAAACTAAGAGCTGGCATTTTCCAAGGGGTGCTTTGAGTCTAAAAGGGCTGAGAGCCACTGCCTTACATACAATGTTGTCTGCAACATGCTGGGTGGCTTTAGGAGGTCAGCCCAGTGCTGCGTGCCTCAGTTTTTCCATTTGTAGGACACAGAGATGAATGAAGTCTTTCAGATCCACTCCACTTTGCCAATTGTTTTTACTTTTAGCTAGAAAACCCCCATGGGTTAAGCCAGGGGTGGGCAAAATGCAGTCCAGGGGCTGGATGCAGCCCGCCAGGCCATTCTATCTGGCCCGTGGGGCCCCTAAAAAATTTAGAAAATTAATATTAACGTGCTCTGGGCTGCCTGTCACGTGGCCCTCAATGGCTTGCCAAAACTCAGTAAGCGGCCCTCTGCCCAAAATAATTGCCCACCCCTGGGTTAAGCTGTGATTGCCCTGCCTGCCCCAAATATGAGGCAACAGAGCTGGATACTGCTAAACTAGCAGGCTGGGAGCTGAACTGTGATTCCTCTGGACTAGATAAACTTTCTGTGATGCAGTTTACTCCTTCCCTCTACTCTGGCTGGCAAATACAGGAGGTCCCCTTGCGTGGGTGGATCTAGGATGTTGAAAAAGGGGATGTAGATGGGCTGGTGCATCATCACCTAGAACACAACAGATTCTTCACCAGTTAAAAAGAAACTTGAAGCCTTACTAACAACAAGCTAGAGGCCGAGGGGCATAGTATTCATTTTAAGATCCAAGGCACAGCAAATACGAGCTCCTCAGAACGTGCAGTCACATTCAAAAATGTAACAAACCAGGCCAAAAACAATCCGACCACGTGGCTTATTTAGTCATTTGCCACCCCGGCTCGCTCCGCCGCCTGCTTTCAGGCCCGGGGCTGCGTGGGGCGAGCAGGCTCTGCAGGAGCGGGACGAGGCGATCCCGCGACTCCCGGAGCCGGCGCTGGTCCGGCGTTCGGAGCGCGGGGAGGCCCCGCCGGGGAAGGGGCGGGGCCGCGCTACCCGGAAGCGGAGGGCGGACCTCGTGGGGCGCTGCAGCCATGGCGGAGCGTATCGAGCAGCGCTTGGAGGAGCGCATCCCCGAGCTGGAGCAGCTGGAGCGGGTCGGGCTCTTCACCCGCCCCGAGATCAAGTGAGGACGGCCGGGAAGGGCCCGGAGATGGAGGCTGAGCTGGGCAGGGCTTCATCGCAGCCGGGGCTGGGCCGGGGGGAGGCAGACATCAGCCCTGGCCCAGGCTGCTGGGAGAGTGGGGGCAGGCTGGAGCTCAGGGGTGGGTATTTTCCTCCGGACTCGGTGCAAAAGGGAAAAAAAACCTTCTAGGCGCTGCAGCCGTCTTGGCCCCAGGCTGGACAAGGGAGAGGGTCTTCCCTGCTGGGTGGGGGAAAGCTGCCTCCCGCCTCTTCTGAGCCAGTCGGAAGGGCGATGTGCTCTGGCGCCAGCCCGAGATCCAACGAGCCGTGCAGAGGGGGCGCTGGGATGGCAGACGGGCTAGCTGGCGGCTCGGTGTTTGCTTCGGTGGTTGTTTCTCTCTGCCCCCTTGGGATAACGGAGCAAAATGAAACAGACCCCATGCTGCTGTAAGCTGCCGTGCTCTTTAGCCCTGTCGCTTGCCAGGTAGGCATCTGGCTGGGGTCGTCTGACCCCAGTGCTCTTTCCTGCCTAGGCAGGGGTCGGACTTGATGATCTGTTTAGGACCCTAGCATCTATGAATTGTCAGCGACTCGTGAGAGGATGTCTGGGAGCTGATAACTTCTCTCTCTCCAGGGCTGTCATTAAGAAAGCCTCGGCTCTAGAATACAAAATACAGAGAAGAGCCCTTCACAAGGAAGACTTCATCGATTATATTCAGGTGGGTTTGACTGTTTCTGGCAGAATGTGTTAGCGCGCATTTTTGACCTCGCCCTAGCACCCTCGCTGCTGCACACTAGTCCTTGCTCTGATGGCACTGTTCATGTGGATGAGGTGCTTCAGTAACAATAATACTACATCAGGAGGCCTATTTCAGGGGTACAGTGCAGGTCTGGAAACCTGGCATCCTGGGGTTTAGTCACAATTTTGCCAGTTATGCTATGTGACCTCAGGCACGTCACCTCATTTTGGTGTGCTTCAGGTTCCACCTTGATATTAAAGCTTAAGATGTCCTCCGAAAGGCTCTGTAGAAAATCTGTGTTATTCAGTGTAATCATTTTTGTGCTGTTTAAAATGTGAATTGAGCTCTAGGATTCCAGGGGGTGGGTCTGCTATGAGTTGATCCAGTGTCTAAAATTTCACAGTTGAGTATAAGAAATCCAGCTTAATTGCCATCAACCTTGGGTCATGTGGCTACCTAAACCATGTGTGGCTCTCACTTGGTAGCTATGCCATTTTAGATATAACTTGTATTCATCTCCTGGCTATTAAAAAAAACAAAAAAAAATTAATAGATTTTTTTTTTTTTTTAAATTCTTACTGTATGCTTCCTCAGTTGCTTTTGAACGGTTTTTCTTCCTTTCTCCTAGTATGAAATTAATTTGTTGGAACTTATCAAGAAAAGAAGATCGGTAAGTTGATCAACCACAATATGAACTAGAATCATAGAAAGGAGGACTAGAAGGGACCTGTAAAATCATCAAGTCTGGTCCCCTGCCATGGGCAGGAAGTAATGGGCTCAAACGAGCTCAACAAGGTGCTTGTCCAGCCTCCTCCTGAACACCGCCAGGGATGGCAACTGCCATAAATAATTAAAATAGTTTAACTTTATTGCACTGTCAAGATTTAATTTATCATTCTTTTTTTTCCCCTCTTAGCGCATTGGATATTCATTTAAGAAAGATGAAATAGAGTACTCTATTGTGCAGAGAATACAAGGCCTCTTCAAGCGTGCCACAGGAAAGTGGAAGGTAAGTGAGGTGTCTTTTCCTGGGCCTGACAATCCAGAGCAGTGGGTCTCAACCTTTTTGGGCTTGAGGCACCCCTCAGTAGAAATGAGGTACCCCTTGGAAAATGTCAGTTTTTAGTTTTCACTCTTTTTGACTATAGAACAAGAATAGAGCAACTCTTCTGTTGCAAATAACTCAGAAAGATCACAACAGGTCAGAGGCCAGAGTGGTTTGTTTTTTTTTAACTGGGTTTATCTTGTGAAGCATATTTGCACAGTCCAAGCATTGTGTGGCACCCTGCAATACCCTTGAAAAGATCTCAAGATACCTTCAGGGAATTTCTTGATGCACTTCAAATGCAGAAGGCACAGGTAGTTGTGAGGCAGTCTTAGTACAGTGTTGATTAATCCCCTTTGCTTTCCCAATAGGAGGATGTCCAGCTGTGGTTGTCACATGTTGCTTTCTGCAAGAAGTGGGTGAGTCTGCAAGATGTCAATATTTTTTTTCATTTAAAATGTTCACTAGATGAACCACCAGTTATATTTTGTGTTACAAGACAGAGGATCGAATTCTTCTCAGTCAGACTAGAGTTGGAATAACTCTGCTGAAATTACTGGAGGTATTCAGACTTTTCACTGACAAATGAAAGCAGGATTTGGCTCAGAATTTCTCTTCTCACATCAATACTATTTTGTTGCTCACATTGTAATTTATAGCACTGCCTACATCAAGGCAGAGGTAGCACTTGCCATCCCATATACGATTTGAAGTATCTCGCTGCTGAAGGAGTAGTTTGGCATCTTTGAGGGAAGCAGCTGTTGGTTGACTGCCTCCAGTTAACTTGCAGAATGGGGGAACCAGCCTACGAATTATGAATCTGTGAGAACCTCGAGCAGTTCACACACTGCTTGTGCTTAAGTCTGGATCTTGGCAACTTTACACTGTACAAACTTCTCGTTTTGTCAGTATTGACCTGCAGTATTCATGCTCTTTCAGCCTTTGACTTCTCTAGCACAGGTGCATGGTGGGTTTGTCACACTGTGTGTGATCACCAAAGCATTTTCCCTCCTTGCCTGATTTTCAGACTGCATGTTTGTGGCCAAAACACAATGAGGATGGGTTCATTGGGTGCTCTGTTATCCAGTAAACTGAGTCAGAGAGATCTAATGCATTTCCTGTCCTGGATACAGTGATGTAGCATTTCAAAGCTAGTCATTCCAGACCATCAGAGTGGAATAGATTTCCCTTGTATTCTGAAAAAAAATTCCATGCTGAACAAATCTTATCCCCAAAAGGAAACCTTTCTGTTAAGAGGGAAATTACTACAAATAGTGGCATTGATGTAAAATGCCTTCTTCACAGCTGTAGTCTGCTTAGCAGCCTTCCATACTGAATCATTTTTTCTCTTCATTGTTCAGTTCAACACAAGAAGGCTTACAGTGGGTAAACCTCTGTGATAAGGTTGCTGTAAATGGTATAAACTTACAATGGGTAAATTAGTTCTCTTGTCTTTTTTTACAGAATATGAAATTTCAGCTTAGCAAGGTTTTCTCTGCCATGTTAGCCATTCATCCAAACAAGCCAGGTACAGTAAAATGTTTTTTTAGCATCACATTTAAATGATTAAATCTAGTTCATTTAGAAGAGCAAAATGATAGGTTATCCCCAAAACTTAGTGTTGATCCAAGTTACTTCTCTTTGAGATGCCAGTTCTGTCTGTTAGGTGTATAGCTTTTGTCTTCCATTTCCTACCTTGTTAATCCGGTGGAGGGATGGTTGCTGTGTTGCAGGGCCCTGAAGAAGAGGTTGCGCTAATAGATCTAAAAGCTGAGCTATATAGAGATTCTCACAGCTTGAAGGACCTTCTGTAGAGGGGAGCAGGGAATAAAAAACTATTTCCAAGGTAGAACATTTTAAATGAACCCCAAGTCCCTTTGTCTCTCAGTTTTTAAAACCTAACTAGATTGAATGCCCTTGATCTGGTCTGATCTCCAATGCTACATGAATCCTGGGGCGACCTAGTGCTTGGTCAGGAGACTGTGTGGGAATCACGTGTGCTACAGGCACAAATCCCGAAGTCATGGCCAAACACTTGACGACTAGCCAGAAACCCAGTGCGTGCAAACACTTCATTCTGGTCATCGTTGCTGCTGGGATGACATACAAGAATATTAAAAGACGCGCACACGCACATGCGTGCACACACCCCCTTACCTCGGGAGCATCTTCCAGAATTGTATCACTCGTTTGCCGTCCAGGGATTGAAACAAACTAATGTGTGTTTTCTGTTGTAGCACTGTGGATTATGGCTGCAAAATGGGAAATGGAGGAACGCCTGTCATCAGAAAGTGCCCGGCACTTGTTCCTTCGTGCATTGCGCTTCCATCCAGAATGTCCGAAACTCTATCAGGAAGTGAGTTAGTGGTTTTTCTGCACGTAGTTACGTTTTCTTGGAGTGGTCTTGGAAAAATTAGTTTTCAATCATTGCAGGAGATGTGGGAAGTGTCTTAACAAAATAAGTAGAAAACCAGTAATAGTTTGAGACAAGACTGTATATACATGCACTGCTTAATAGCATTCATACATGCACTGTTTAATAGCATTCTGAATTCTTTGTTAAATTGTCAGAAATTCTTATTAAACCTTTCTTAAGATACTGCGATTTCTACAAGGAAAACTCTATCTCCTGGGGATTACAAGTAAAGTATGCGTGGGGAAGAATTCTTCCTGGTCCCTACAGGCAACCAGCCGACGGTCTTGCTCACCAGACAGGTTCTTTTCAGCCCCATCTTGGGGATGCCGGATGCATGATTTCACTTATCCCATGCATTGCTTATTGCACCAAGAAATGCTTTCTTCTTCTTGAAAGTGAACTTGGACTGGTATGATAAAAAAGCAAAGCAAAGCAGCCAAAAGCAAATTGGCTTTGCTATGGGACCAAAGCAGCCCATACAATACAAATTGCAACAAGAGCTGGAGTGTGCTTGGAACACATCTGGCAAGGATTTAGCCAAATGACTCCCACAAAAGTCATTGGCTGTTTTGAGTCATGAGATTCCTATTATAGAAGATGCTCTTTATATGATGGAAAAGGGCTGGTTGTCTCTCATCTGATTTCAGCATAGTTAAGTCGGTTAATTCAGTTTAGAGCAGTACAGTATGTTCCCTTGCTAAAGTGCATAGCTTAGAGTCTGTACACAAAATGGGCAGTTTCCCTATGTTCACCAAACAGGAAATAGCAGAAGGAATTGCTCTACACATTTTCTTTTACTGTTTACTTGCTAATGTGTTATCAGAAGAGTCCTGTTGATGGTTGAGTAAATTATTTTTTTATGAGGTTTAATTCCACATTTTTTAAAACAATAGCTATTATATTTTCTCTTACTCAGACTGTAGCTCTTTACAGCAGGGCTACTAGATCAGAATGGGGACTTAGTGAAATTTTGATTTACAGCTCTTCAAACAGGGCTGGCTTTGGCAAATGCTGTCAGATTATTCTGATGTGTGCTGTGTGCTTTAAGTTCATTCTTCCATTTTATTCCCTTGTTTCTTGTAGTATTTCAGAATGGAACTGATGCATGCTGAAAAGCAGAGAAAAGAAAAGAAAGAGTTTGAACAAGCAAAGATGGACTTGGTAAGTGGCCTCATGCATCTGTCTTTAAAGGGACTATTTCTAGGCAAGTGGTGTGTTTTTAACTTGAGGGTTTTAGAAGTACATGGTACTTCACTGGGCGTGTTGGTGCATTGTTTGAGAGCTATAGCTATTGGAGGGTCTTGGTCTTCTGTTCAGTGATACCTGATATCGCTGCATGTTACACTTCCTGAATGCAGGCTGGGGGCCAGATCCAGTAAGTTATTAATTTGATTTTCCTTTAGGGAACACGCACACTTTTTTTGGATTAAGGCCTTTTTCAAGAAAGTAACAGCTTTAATTTTCCGGTTTTGTATTTACTCTGTATTTGTTAAACAACTATTAAATAACTACCAATTTCTGACAAAAAACAGTTAAATTGGTTTTCTGTGTTCTGGGGTAGGTATTGCCTTCATATTAGCTGGTCTCTCCAGGTTAGATAGGAAATGTTCATCATCAGTTCTGTTTCATTTTCTTAGTTTGCTGCAGAAAACAGCAGTTCCAGAAGGAAGCTAACTAACTTTGCTTAACATTTTAGGAGGTGTTCAATTATTCTGAGGAGATTCTTCACGGGGAACTGGCTCGAATAGTCTACAGGGATGCCATTCAGAAAATCCAGGGTAATTTAATGTTTTCCATCTCCTCTTTTCAGAAAAACTATTACCTGGTACGTTGCGTGGGTAGTCCTGGCTCCAGTGTCAGCATGGGTGCACCATACCCAGCACACGAGGCAATGTGCCTATTAATGTGGGTAGCGCTAGATAATAATTCACAGCCATTCTGTACGTAGGGACCTCCTTCAGCATACCAGCCTTTGGGCTGAAATACCAACTGTTGCCCTTCTCCATTTCATACACAGAAGAAGAAAGCTGTTAGCTTCCTTCCATAAGATCTAGCCTAGTGTATTTTCATTAAAAAAAAGAAAAATCTCTTCTGTATCTGATGATACTGACACAAAATACAGAGTTTATTTTATTAAGCCTCTCACCCCCTTGCACTGTGACTCTGATCTTCCTAGTATGATCCCGATTACAATTATGATAGAAATATCCTGGGACTCAGAAAGACATGGGTAAACCTTGTAACCCTCATTCATGCAAGCAGTACTATGTCCTTCCATTAAACTCCTCGTGAGAAAAGGGTTGTTTGGGTCAGAGCCTTGTTGGTTACTGGAACCAACATCAGGCGGACAGTGAGAGTTAGACAGGGAACTTACCTGTCCTACCTTAATGCATGGATAAGAGTGACAACATTCCAGTGGTTAAATATATTCCTTTATATTGCATTTACTTGCTTAGAAAAGTAATAAAGCCTTTGAAAATCAGTGAGCAAAGTCAAGAAGATACAGAAAGACAGTGCCCTGGGGTGAGGGTCGAGCATTATTTTAACAATTGTCTTTCATACCTGGGTTCTCTTGATTTCTAGGTGCTGAGTTTCATCTTTCTCTGCTTTTTATTGCAAAGCTCTTTGATTTTACCGTGGACTTGCAAAAAGAAATTCTTGAGAAGTAAGTTGGGTTTTTTTGTTTTTAAATGCCAACATTGTTCTCATTTCTGCCTGGATGGTAGTTTGGTGTCCAAGAGCCACTGTAGTGGGAACATGGATGTTAAATCCTTCCAAAAATTCCTAAGAAAAACAGCAGTTTTAGGGCATGATATTTTATTTGATGCCTGATCTAAGCAAACTTTCTGGAGAAGGATGTTGTACCTAAAATGCAAACCCAGCTTCCCTTGAGAACATGCTAACAAAATGTGGATAAAATACAGTTATTTTAGGGTTACTGTGACACTTACAACTCTTAATAACTAATACTCATAGGGAATGAATACTTTTCCTTGTTACTTTGTATGTAAAGTTTCTCAAAGTTCCCTTCTTCCTTCCTAAAATTGATAATCAAATCTGAGCTGGCGCTGAAGAGCACTTATAAAGAAACAGGGCAGTATTTGATTATCTGCCTTTAATGGGAGGATGAACTATTTTATTAGTGAAATGTTCTTGCTTAGAATTATCCACTTGGAACAAGACAGTCAGTAGCTACTCCCCAGCCGTACATCTCTAAAACAGTGGTGCTCAAGCTTTTATCATCACAGGCCAGATCGGGCCCTGCACTACCTCCTCATGGCCCCACATACATGGATAGGTCCCTGTGCAGCCCCACATCAGCTCTGTGCACCAGGATCAGGCCCCACACTTGCCCTGCATGCTGGGATCAGACTCCACATGCTGAGATTAGACCCTGGGGCCTGGCCTGGTGCCTCCACCCCTCCCCATGTGCTGGGATTGGACCCATGCCAGGCCCCACATACTAGGACAGTGCCCCATGCACTGGGTTTGGGCCCCGTGTTGCCCTGTGTGCCCAGTCTAGTGCACACAGCCTGTGGCTCCTCATGGGCTCACAGATTTGCAAGCAGAGGAGCAGTGCCACTCCCACTCCACCCCCCCCCCCAACTTTTCAGATCCATGAGGAGCCCCATGGCTGAATGACACAGCACTGGGGGCCAGATCTGGCCCATGATCCAGGCACTGAGTATCCCTGCTTGAGAACATGCTTGCAGCAAGAAAGTGCACCCTGTGTATTATGACCTCATGGACTTTGTGTGTTAGATTGCAGGCTGAACATGCTGATGACCCTCTTACATGGGACTACTTGGCACGGCAGGAGCTGGAGTTAGGGTCTCTGCCATCCTCACAACATTCATCTAAACAGACAAAGGCATCTGAGGTGGCTCAGAAGGAGGAACGGTGCTGTGCAGTCTTTGATGAAGCTGTGACCTCACTCCCCACTGGTTAGAAACTCTTGATTTTGACATTGGTTTGCTCACTACTTTTGTGCTCTATATATAGAGATGCAAGAAATGTGCAGGCAGGGTCCCCAAGCTATCTTCTGTAGAGGTCTGCATCTTAATAGAAAGCAGTTGTCCTGGGGTGCTACCTCTTCTTTGTCAGTGGGATACTTTGGACAGGAACCATTTTAAATATTTATTTGCTGTAATTATGGGTGGTCCTGCTCTAGTGTAACTTTTATTTTAAAAGTAGATTATAGTACTTTAGTGTTCAGCCAGTCACTCTGCCCTGCCCACAAGACCGATATATGTACTAGCTGTTGTGGTTTTATTAAATGTATGACTGTCCTTTTGGTTTTGCAGAGCCCATGTGGAAATGCTATGTCACTTTTTGCCTGGAGAGATATAACCGGAAAACCAATAGCGAAGCATTAAGACAGAAGGTAAATTCTTGTTGGACATTCAAAATAACAAAAGATACTGCTCTTGCTGACTTCCATTATCTCTTTCTTATTCCCAAACAAACTTCCATATATTTCCATCAGTTTGAAGCCGTGCATATCATACTAGAAGGCTTGGAGTTATGTCTATAATCAAAGATCAGTTTTTCTCCCTATTAGACACATGTCTTTCAGGGCTTTTTACATCGGCCATCCAACCTGGCATACATAAAAATTTAGAAACCATATGTCTTGTTGGGGGTGGTGAACAGGGAAGACTAACAGTGACAGGACATCTCCTGCAGAATATCAGTGCTTTGAATTTTGTAAATATCTGTGCACATCTGTCTTTAAAAGAACAGGGGTGGGGCCAAAGGGTCATTCTCTTGCCAGCCTTTCTTCAACTGAACCTTAGGGAATGAGGCATCCGGGGCACCTAAATCCACTAGGTTGTTTGGAAAGCCCCAGCCCTAAAATGTACAGCTTCTTGTAGGAGTCTCCAAACTGTACAGCAGTAAATTTAATTCTCTTTTTTTCTTTATTTCAGAGACTGGAAAGGATGTTGAGCGTGTTCAGCAGAGCCCACGAATCTAACTTGCTGCCAGAGGAGTTGTATAAACAGTGGGTAAGGATATGGATATAGATATAGATATATATAGGCCTGCTCCTGTATTCTGTAGGCACTTGAAGCTTCCACTAAAGGAAATAGGATCTTTGCATGTGCAAGAATGCCAGGTCAGGGCCTTATTTTCTCACGTGCTCTGCGTGGACCTGACCTGATCATTAATTTCAATCCCTGTTTCAGCTTCAGCTGTTACTGGAGCTCAACCTTTCTGAGAGGGCCACAGAGGTTGCCGCAGGTGCAACCAAACGGTTCGGTCCCTCAGTGGATATGTGGCAAACTAGACTGCAAGTACTAATTCAGCTGAACAGTGACTGTGTGGCCGAGTGTTTTGAAGAAGCCTTCAAGCAAGTGAAATCTAAGGTTTGTGACACTCTCAAGAAGCCTCTGACTTTTATATTTTATTTTTCCTTTGCTAAATTAGTCTTTAAAGTGAGGGAAATGGGTTCTCTGTTAAAAATATCAATGATATTCTAGGTCTACGGGAAGGAATTGAATACAAATCACAACTTGTTAAATTGAAAGCTTTGAAGCCAGTTCCGATGGCCAGCTGGTGTTCTCTTAATTATGCCCTGTACTCTTGTTACCTCAGTAAAGGACGTCTTTCTTACCCTTAGTATGCTGAGCCTAGGGGTGGGTGGTATGTAAAGCCCTGGATTAGCAGGCTACACACTTTCCTGATTGCCCTAATTCAAGTGCTTGGCATAGGGATGAGAGACAGCAAGAAAACTGATGTATTTTTTTCTCTTTTCTGGAGAGCTGCTTTTGGGCTCTGTATGAGGGTAAGAACAGGACATGCTCCCCATCTCCAGCATTTTTTTTTACTTTAGGAGGAGCAAATTCATGTGGACCACTTGTAATCTAGAGGTTCTTGAGTAGGGGAAAAAGTCATTTTAATTACAGCTTCGTTGGATGGATGATTTCACAGCAGGTGTGCAGCAGCTGTGGCTGAGAGCTTGGGTGAATGTTGTGTTAAACTAATTTTAAAAGTCCCTGGTGATACTGGCATCTGTTGCATTTTCCTGAGATCAAACTGAGGCTTAGTTGTATTCTAACATTATCCCTTTGGCTCCTTGCATTTCTTTTCTAGGACAGCTTATCTTTATGGACTCTGTGGGTAGAGTGGAGTGAAGGCGCAAACAGCAAAGAGGACACAGAAGCCCTCTACCAGGTACATGGATGTACAGGGTTACAGCGACATTGTACAATTCAGGCGCTTGTTCTGAATGAGAGAGCTTGGGTTACCATGAGTCCTGTGTAGCTGCGGTAGCATGGTACTCACCTGGGGCTAATTGGCATTGCTGTGAAGCAAAATATGTAAATTGGGGAGTTAGCGTGTGAACACGACTGTTGTGCTTCTAGTGTTCAGCTAGCTCTGGTATTGCCATATGGTCCTGTATTGTGCCACGTAGACATACCCTTCATTTCTTTCCTGGTGTGAAATGGGCTAGGAAGCTAGCTAACATGTCACGGACTGGAAGAGTTCACAGGGAGTGCTAAATGACATTCAGCCCTTTTTATTTTCTTTGTTTGCCCCCTAGTTTTCAACTGCATTGCATTCCAACTTTAGGTAAAGTATTTTAAAAGGGAATTAAATACCTCAGTGTCTCTGCAAATCATTTGGATTTAAGCTTCTAAGCACTCAAGTTGCTTCTGAAAATAGGACTTAGACTCTTGTCACTCAGACACTTTGTAAGACCCTTTAAAATATCTCTGATTCTGTGGGCTACATTTTTTGTCCAAGTTTCAGCCAGAGGTTTTAAAATAGATTTTATTGTGCCCAATCTAATGCTTTAAAGTGTTAACACTAGTAGGAGAAGATTCAAGCAAAAAAATTAGGGTCAGGTAATCTCAGAGCAAAAAACCCCCCAAAAAACTGCTTAATTTGTCTATCTGTTATGTAAGTTATTTTGCTTCTTATGGGAACTTAGTTTATAGAGCACTTTTGAGATCTTTCAGATTAAAAGTACTATGGAAATGTTCCTTAAACCTACTTGAATAATGGAAGGGAAGAAATGTATTTCTATTCTAAACTGAGCAGTTGTATTGGAAAAGTACTGCATGTCTTTAGTGTTGCTACTCTTCACCAGTTGTGTTTTTCTAATACAGGCAGTCCTCGGACTTACAACACAATTGGTTCCTGAAAACCACGTCTTAAGTCGAAACGTCGTAACTTGGAACCGATTTTCCTATAGGAACAATGTTATAAATGAGAGATTGGTTCCTGAACCCAAGGCCTGATACCTATTTTCAGTCATATTGACCTAAAAAATCACCACGTAAAAATGGTGTTGTAACAGCAACTGAATGTCTTGAGTCAGAGAGATGGGCAGTGAGGCGGATCAGCACAGGGAGATGGGCAGCACAGCAAACTTGTTTGCTGGCATGGCGTTGCATCAGATCAAGTGTCTTGAGTCAGGAAGTCAGGGAGATGGGGATTGTAAAGTCAAAACCGACATTGGAAAGTCGAAACGGGGTGTCCATATGTAAACGTTATAAGTACGACGTTCGAGTTACAACGAACGGCAAAGTCGAGGACTGCCTGTACTTGAAAGTAAGGTTCTGATGCTAAAATAATTGAGAACGCAGACAAGTAACCAAACGAGCTGTGTTTGGTGTAGCTCCTTATAGTTACTTTTTGATTGTAGCAAAGAACATGCGTGTTTAACTTGCAGAGATCCTTACTTATTGCTGTGCCAGCTGTCTCTGTAACCATGAAAGAGAAGTACCTTGACTGGGCCTACAGGACTGGCGGGTATAAGAAAGCAAAGAAAGTCTTTACCAGGTAAAAAATAACAATCTGAAACCTGAATGTCAAAAGATAAGTGTATGAAAGATTTAAAGTCTAAAGCTCTTCATGCTTTTATTCTAGCCTACATGAGAATCGTCCCTTTTCACGTGAGTTCTTCAAGCGGATGATCCAAATAGAAAAAGAGCAAGTAAGTGTTACAAATCAATTTGGAATCTCATTGTAAAGAATGTAAGTTATTCCTGTGGAACTGGATAGGAAGCAGTGGTTGTATGAGTAGCATGTAATTAGGTTCTTCTAAAATAAACTCCTCTTATGTAATATGAGGCTGAGTTGCATGGTACTTAGTCTTGGATATGTATGCATGTGGAATTAGCAGGACATTGTTTCTTTGCATCTAATTATGCTGCAGATTCACTTCCATACACAGGAAATGATCTTTTCCAATTTTCTTTGTTAGGAATCTTGCAAGATGTCTAATCTGAGAGAGTACTATGAACGCGCTTTGAGAGAGTTTGGTTCTGCAGATTCTGGTAAGGCAGCTTTCTTCTTGCATGCCACCATAATTGTTCTGCCCATATGACTGCTAAGATGCAAAGGACAGCTTGATAATGCTGCTTCATTAATGTGCCTGGCACTTTACAATGACCTTACACTAGAAAGCCTTCAGGGGCTTCAGTTCCCACAAAACTTTCACCTGGGCAGTCCCACTGACTTAAGTGGAAGTAATACTAAGGAAGGGCTGGTGAGATTTCCAGTTGTCTGACGATTTGTCTGAGTTTTTATACAGTGTAAATAGTGATTTCCACAACATCCTTCAACGACAATAAATGCCTCCATTATACAGGTGGTGTAAGAAACAGCTGCAGGTAAGTTAAGCAGCTTTTCAGTGTGACCTGTGGTGTCTCCATCACAACTGGACGAAGAACCCAAATTTCTGTGCTTTTGCTGTTTCCCCCGTACAAGGAGAAAAAAGAAGTTGAGCCACATTACGCTTGACTGTGAACATGTAAAACTTTTCGTGCGTAGGGCTTCTATGTTAGGACTAGTTTTGTGTGTGTGTGTGTGTGTGTGTGTGTGTGTGTGTGTGTGTGAGAGAGAGAGATTTCAATTTGTCTGTTCTAACTAGATTTTCTTTTATTTAAAAGATCTCTGGCTCGATTACATCAAAGAAGAGCTAAGTCATCCCCAAGGCAAGCCAGAAAACTGTGGGAACATTCACTGGAGAGCTATGAAGATGTTGCAGGGAGAACTAGTAGAAAACTTTGTTTCCAAATACACTTTGCTACAAACCGGACACTCATGAAAAATGTAGATTTTTTTTTTTCCCACATTTTTGAGATGAACGACATTGGAGAATTACTAGAGTTGTTTTGTTTGTTCCATTTTTTTACAAGACTTTAAGAGTAAACATATTCCTGAACCACACTAACATGTTCATACTTTATTTTCACATATATTGGAATTTCTTTTTTGGTTGTAACCTACAGTTACTAAAAATGTTACCCATCTCAGCGGCAAGGTACCAGTGAATGGGTCAAAATCATAATTACAAGAGGAGGAGAAATATTGGTAAACAGGTGCACCTTTCTATCAGAATGTTAATTACAGAGAACTTTGAAAGCAGATTTTGCTTATAGTCTTAAGCTCTTTTGCATTAAATAGTGGTCATATGTCACATTTAAAACTTACAAAATTTCATATTAAAATACAAATTGGTGCAAAGAAACCTCGTTCCAGTAGAGACCTAACTTGGTATCTTGTCCTAATAGTGCAGCGTCTTAAGAAAAAAGATTCCAAAAGCGAAGAAGGGTTTGGTACTAGAGTCTCTTTAAGCCTAGCAGTTCTTAGCCTTTTTAGCCTCATGGCATCCCTCCATAACTCTTGGGACTTGCACAGCGCACAGTTGAGAATCACTGAGCTACAATCTAAATTCAGAAAAGAGATGAGGGGAAAAGGTTAAGAGTCATTGATCTAGCTGGTGTCAGGTGACAACATTGGGAGCAGATCTAACCCTGCCATGCCCTGCTTTTTCCACTGTCTGCCTGCCCCCGCCCCCCTGCCCTCTCCTTCCAGTCTGTACTTGAGGGGGTAAGGGTAGCTCCCATTGCTGAAACTGCTCCTGTGGGGTCTTGCATGCCAGAAAATGTCTCCACGGCTCCTCTCACTGGGCTCAGGAGTGTGGGAGGAGCAGAGGGGACAGGACAGGCTACGAAGTATGGCTCTGGCCTCATGTCTGCCCCCTCGCCCATAGCAGAGTGCTCTGCTGGCAGTGTGGGGGTATATGTAATGGTGCAGGAATATTGGACATTGATTAGTAATAAGACTATCCCAAGGACATTGTGCTGAGGGTTGGAAACTGTTGCCTTAGCATTGGATTTGCTCCTGTGGTGTGTGTGCGTGTGTCGTTTTTTTTTTTTTTAACTTTGTTCTGGCGTGATAAGCTGCTTGCTGACTTCTGAAGGATTACTTGTGGGGATATACTGTTTAGGACAGGTCTACTGGAAGTCATTTTAATCAGTCCTTAGTTTCAATATAACTGATTTGGATTGTCAACAATTCTTTGCAATATTTCTTCTAACTGGTCTTAGGATATCGTTTTCAGCACTAAATTCAACTCCTCTGAATTCCCTCAACACAATTCTACTGTCAGTGTTCTTCCAGCAGCATTTTTCTTCTTTTAAAGCTTTTCTTTCCAGCACAAGTGTTGAAATGTTGTGCAGTAATTGGTTTTCTTTGGTCGCTGCAAGTATGCTAGGAAGTAACATTTGATGCGACTACAACATGATTAAAAGTAGAGCTGCTAAAATGATCAAGATGTTATGATTTAAGATCAGAGGTGTAGGTTGTAGCTGTACCCAAAGAACCTTGCCTGCCTGTGATTTAAGATCAGCATTTTATTTCTTTCCTTTTGGATGATACCACAAAAAGGCTGCAAGAAGTAAATTTCCCCAACCAGTGATCCATTCCCATCAATGGCCTATAAAAGAAAATGATTTGCTTCTTGATACCATTCCCCTATACTAAAATGTTTCTTTCATTTTAGGCGATCTTATTACATCCAAAGTTACAGCCCATCTACTAGAATTCAATAAACCATGCTAGTATTTTAGCTGAAATTCCTTTATAAAATCTGAAGGCTGGTAGTAATTATATCATTACTTTTAATTGTGCTTCTGAACATTACAACAGACGCTAACTATATACTAGCCAGCATTGCTACAGCATTTATGAAATCATTTTGCCCACAAAGTAAATAGCTACAAGTATTTGATCAGAATACTTTCAACTGGTTTAGCAAGGGGGAGAAATAATCTGGCTGCCTTCAGCAGATGCAGCAAGTCTCTCTCTCCTTAGTTTCTCTTATTCCCTTTGCTTTCCAACTACATCATCTACTTATAGGATACCTGCTTTTCAGAAACTGATCAAAACTTTTAGCTAAAAGCTTTAACTCAGGTGTAGAAATATCAACTCGGGTGTGGAAATCACTTTCAATGAAGCATTAGAGACACTATCCAGATGCTCAAGAAGGTTTGATTCTGTTTTCTGAATCTGAGACATGTACATTTAACTATAACAACTCCAGGATGAATTAAACAAATCTTTGGATTATTTTTGCCTAGTTCGTTGTGTTTTTACGCATACAAAATAGCAAATTTTAACGCATGTTCCAATATATATTTTTTGGCTTCAATCTGAAATCAAACAATCTAGCTCTAGGCCAGTGGTCTCCAACCTTTTTATGTACCAGATCACTTTTTGAATTTTGAAGTCCAACCCAGGATCTACTGTGTGCCGTATGCCCTCCCCCTGCCCTGTCCCCTCTCATCCCCTGCAGCAGGTCAGGCCCCCACAGTGAGAGAGGGAGTGGGACAGAGGCCGGGCGGGTGGTGGAAGGATCGGAGCCCAGGTGGCCCTTCTGGGCACAGGGGCTTCTGCTGCTACATGTACCCTGTCAGGGGCCTGGGGGCCACGTGTCCCCCGGATCTGCATGCAGGGCAGAGGTGCATGCTAGGCTTTGTGCCCTGAGCCCTACTGCAGCTGCCCCGGGAATGGTGTGATGCCACGTGCATCCCACCACTGGGCTGAGCCTAGCCCCCTGCCCGCCCAGTGGCGGGACACATGGTATCGCACCACTTCTGGGGCAGCTGCATTGGGGCTCAGGGTGCAAAGTGCAGTCCACCCTGTGCATAGATGGGGCGGGGTGGAGATGTGCACCCTAGGCCTCCGCCAGGGTGGGTGCAGTGACAGGAGCCTCCTGTGCACCCAGCTGAGCTGCCCGGGCTCCGATCCTCCCACCACCTGGCCCGGCCGGGGCCCCCCTCACCTCAGCCCCTACTCCTGCCTGTGCCCCACTCCCTCTCTCACCACAGGGGCCTCGATTTGGCTCCCATCCCTTCCCTCCTCCCCAGATTGAACTGCTGGGTTGGTGGGGGGGCACGTGCAGGCACAGGGATCTCCCCTGCCCATCCCCACTGCCAGTCCACAGCTGAGCCCGTCCCACATGGCAAGGGGGGATGTGGACAGGAATAGCTCTGCTGCCTCCCCCATGCCTGAGGACAGCAGGGAAAGCAGCGGTGCCAGGTATCTTGCCCTTGAAGCAGAGAAGAGCAAACAGAGGAAGGAAACGGAGAGAAATCCTAGCCCGTGGCCTACTCTCTCTCCTGTGGAAAGGCCTGCAACTTCTGTGGGTCTGGGACTCAAGACACCTCAAGACCCATCAGTGAGCTGTGGCAGAGATCATCCTCAAATGGATGATTGCTGCTGATAACTGAAGTCCCCAGAGGCTCCTGTGGTGCAGTTCAATACAAAATGATCTGCCCCTCTGCACTTCAGTCCCCGCACCCTCTTTTCAAAATCCTAGATCTGCCCATCCCAGCGGCTCTCCCATTGCTCGGGAAGCCCAAACCCGCTGAAGTGGCAGAGAAAGTCAATAGGGATTTATTACTGACTCTCTCACCAGACAAGAACTAGGAGGCACAACATGAAACAAGTAGGCAGGAAGTTTAAAACTTGAGGCCACAAGTTCTTTTTCACCCGGCCTGTCATCAAAGTTGGAATTTGTGGGTTGCAGCGGCAGGGCAGGGACCCTGGGAGCTGGCACAGTGCCCCTGCTAGGATGACGGAGTACAAGCTGGTGGTGGTGGGTGTGGGTGGCGTTGGCAAGAAAGCACTCACCTTCCAGCTCATCCAGAACCATTTTGTCAGTGAGTTCGACATCACGGAGGACTCCTACTAGAATCGGGATGATCAATGCGGTGACTTGCCTGCTGGTCATCCTGGACACGGGTGGGCAGGAGAAGTGCAGTGCCATGCACGACCAGCAAGATTTGGTTATGCACACAGGCGAGGGCTTTCTCTGTGTCTTCGCCATCAACAACACCAAGTCGTTTGAAGACGGCTACCACTACAGGGAGCAGATCAACTGGCTGAAGGATGTGGATGACGTCCCGATGGTGCTGGTAGGTAACGCCCTCCTGGACAGTGGACATCATGCACACTCAGGAGCTGGCAAAGAGCTACGTCATCACCTTCATTAAGATCTCAGCCCAAATGAGACAGGGTGCAGCAGATCCTGAAGCACAAGAAGATAAGCAATGGGTGCAAGAAGAAGTGCATGATCCTCTGAAAGATGCACATGCTGGTGCAGGAGAGGAGAGGACCTCCCTTGTCCCCTTCCCCTCCTGGATTCCTTTGGTTTGCATACGACGGCAGCAGAGACGGTGGGCTGTTCGGAGCGGCCAGACGGAGAAAGCAGCAGAGACTAGGAAAATGACTGTTCACTCTGTTTTCTGGCTCCGTTCACCCCTTGTATCCTGAGACTCCAACTCGCAGCAAGTTTAAAACTTGGCACTGTCTCCCTTCCTGAGGTTGGGGTGAATCCTACCTGGCCAAAAACTCCAATCTGCTTTGCTGGCCTGTCTGATGTGCCCAGGAGATGCTGCCTGCAATAGCGCTGGGCAGAAAAATAGGCGGTGAAATCTGAGGAAAAGGGCTGTCATTCCGCCCTGCCTGCTCATAATCCACATGGACACAGATGACAGGCTCCTCATCCCTGCTCTTTATCCTGTGAATATCCCTCCCTTAGCTCAGCAGTCCCCTTTGGGTAGATCAACTGCCGGATCCCTGTTTGGAGATGGGAAAGCAGCGTTTTGGGGAGGATAGTTTATAGATTCATAGACTTTAGGGCTAGAAGGACCTTGGAAGATCATCGAGTCCAGTCCCCTGCCCCAGGGGCAGGAAGTCAGCCGGGATCATAGGATCCCAGCAAGATAAGCATCCAAATGTCTCTTGAAGGCGTTCAAAGTGGGTGCTTGAACCACCTCCGGTGACAGTCTATTCCAGACCTCGGGGACTTGGACAGTAAAGAAGTTCTTCCTTACGTCCAGCCTGAAACGGTCATGGAGGAGTTTGTGACCATTCGACCTCGTCATCCCTTGGGGCGCTCTGGTGAACAGACGCTCCCCCAGATCCTGGTGGTCACCCCCGATAAACTTATAGGTGACCACCAGGTCCCCCCTGAGCCTGCGCTTTTCCAGGCTGAAGAGTCCCATGGCTCTCAGCCTCTCATCATAAGGCCTGACCTCTGATCATGTGTGTGGCTCTTCTCTGACGAAGGGTTTTTGAACCCGAAAGCTTGCTTAATAACTTTTCTCCAACTATTTGGGTTGGTCTAATAAAAGATATCAGATTCACCCACGGAACCTTGTCTGCCTATGGCTCTCCTCTGCTTCTCCACCTCCTCCTTGAATCGTGGAGCCCAAAACTGGATGCAGTCGTTAAGATAGCAAGAGTAAGCATTTTCTTATGCTTGGCTGGCTTCCTGCTGCTCCCATGGATTGGGGGCAAGTCCACCCTTTTCTTGCCTGCCCACTAAACAGTTACTCAAGGCGAGCAGGGATGGTTTTCTGCCAGGGGCAGTCATTACCAGCAGGGCACTGCCTTGTCTCGCGTTGACAGCCTCTTCCATTTGGCAAAAAAGAAGTGCTTTGCTCCCTTTGGCCGCGCCGGGCTGTCCCCGGCGGGAGTCCCGCACGTGCGGCCGGCTCCTCCCCGCGCCACGTGCTCGCCCGCATGGACCCGCCGGTGAGCGCCGGGGCTTGCCTCCTCCAGCCCCCGAGACACAGCTGCGGAAGCTAGCTGGATCATTCATCCATTCATTCATTGAGTGTGTTTGTTTGTGCGTGCTGCCCTTGCTTGGGCACCTAGGGCAGAGGGAGCGCCCTTGCTGCTCTCTACCTCGACTCCTCTCGCCTGATTCCCGAAACAGCCAGGTTTAGAAGAGCTTCCCCTTCCTCCCCATGTGCAATTGGACCGGAGGGGCAAGCTGGCCGGGTTTCTCCCCTTAACTCCGGCTTGGGGACCTGCTGCTGTCTTCCTCCGTGGTCCCAGTGCCTGGCAAGGAGAGGGATGCTTTTTTTTCTCTGTCTGTCCTCTGCCCTTCCTTCAATGGTCTGGTTTCTAGGAGCCAACGTTTTGTCCTTCCCTTGCTTCTATAAATACCTTGTTTTTCATCGTTGCTCGCGGCTCTTCCAGACCCTTGTAGTTCTCAGGTTTGACATGCTTTGTGTTGATTTTGCTACTTCCCACAGGCTCCGAGTAGCAGCAAGAAAACTGACCCAGGGGCTGTCCGTTATTTTGCTGCTGCTGCTGGGCAAAACTGTCAAGGAATGAATCAAAATGAAAGTGAAAATCTCGACTTACGCAGGTGGTTCAGATCCTTATGTTTCCAGGAAACCAGTGAGGTTTGTTTGCTTGGTTATTTTTTTTGAAGCTGTATTGAGATATCGTATGGCACGGGAGTCGCCTGAATTGTGCGGGAGAGGAGTCTAATGAAAAAAGCTGGCAAATAATTAAAAAATATATGTCTGTGCTTTGTAGGTAACAGCTGATGGAAGTGACTTTTCCTGTCAGGAGGCAGCTCTTTTGAAAGGAAGGAAGACCACAAATTGGTGGCCTCCAAAAGGTATTCAAGGAAGTTATTAAGTCATAGTAAGGTGACCATTAATAGTGTTACGAATGTTGTCTGCTAGGAGAGGCTAGCAGCTGTGCAGGGCAGATACGTGGGAAATGTTTTTTTGGGTGACTGCTAAATTGTTGCTGCCTTTTGTTCTGTGCATCCCTAGACAGGGGAGCACTTAATCATTGTTAACAAATAATAAAAATGCCGTTGATTTGGAGACTCCAGATGGAGTTGTTAAACGCATTTCCTTAAGAGATATTGGGAATCAGCTGTGATAAAACCGAGCTAGTGGTTCCAGAGATCAACCAAAGATGTAAACTTCAGGCCTAGTCCCTGGGCTGGAGCTCGTCTGAGCCAGACCACCAGGTGTGAAGTCGAGAGTTCACAACTTGGGGGATTCTGGAGCAAGTGAGGGGATTCAAACCTCTCACTAATATATTCCAAACACAACAAGCATTGGACAGCCAAAGCAGTATGGGGGTGGTATTAACTATGTGCAGATGCAAGTTGTGTGAAAGTATGCCTTTGTAGTCATATCTTTGAATTCGTATCTCTGGTGTTGCCAAACTTTTCCTTTGGAATCTCACTGTGACCTCATGATCTGGTATACATTGCCAGATGTGGCTGCAGCAGGCAGGAGCATTGTCATTTTCCTGGACTCTGACTGAGGACGATTCCTTGTTCAACAGAGTTCTGTTTTATGCACAGTATCTTCGTACAGCTGGCCAAACTCCTGTGCGTTTAAAGCATTGTGACCTCCCCAGTTTATTTCCTTAGTAACTTTTTGGGTCTTTCTGTCACACTGTAGATGTTCTAGACATTCCTGATGGTGAATCTCAACAGAGTGGATTCCCCGGTATCTCTTCCTGTCAAAATGATACCGCTGGTTTGACTACAGACACGTCTGGATCTTCTGCTGAAAGCACCGGTGACTCTGACGATCAGATTGACCTTCAGGAATGGGAGCTGGATACTGAAGTTAGCAGCGTGCCTGTTGCTGCATGGTATCCTGAGCTGAAAACTGATCCCAAGTATGAGGAAGAGGATTGGGATAAAGAGCTGGAGGATTCCAAATGTAACCCATATGGTAGGTACAGATTTGCTTGTGCTTCAACTAAACCGGCATGGAGGTAGGGACATGTAAGTTGCTGGAGAGTCTCTTTCAACAGGTCTTCATTCTCCTGTTTTGGGCAGAGACTTCATGGTGTCTGCAGTGACTCATTTGGTTTTTGGCTGCCTTATGTCTGTCCCATGCCCTTGTGATACACAGTTGTACCTAGGTATTCAAAAGAAACAGGGATTTCAAATGGATCTATCTGATTTTGCCTTGGGCAGTAGGGGATATAACTGATTGGATACGGTGGTATGGAGAAAATGTATGTAGAGCTGTGTGTAGCTACTCAGGTGCTGTTCAGCCATCATGAAATAGCATGCATGCGCGTGTCAGTCATAGATAAGGAGGACTGGAAGGGACCTCCAGAGATCATCCAACCCCTTGCCTGAGGCAGGATCATCCCCATCTGAGCACTTCTATACAAATCTGTTCTTTGACTTGTTAGCAAAACTGCACAGCATCACTCTGAAGCAGTGTAGATGGACTTGCCCTGACCTCGGATGGACCAGCATGCCCTAGCTAAGGGCCCATGTTCTGCTTATGGGGTAATTCTTCTCAGTGGCTCATCTTGGGCTTTGTCAACAGCGGTGTCACTGTCACACAGTGGTCTTACAGGGTTGTGTCAAGAGGTGTTAGTCTTTGGCCCAAGTCTGTTCATTTGGAGCCCAACCCGGCAAGCAGTAGCACACATTTTAGCAATTTGGCTCTTGTAAACCGTCCTGTTGATTTGGACAAGAGGTGTCGCATCAGCAATCTTGCCTTTGTCTGCAGGATGGCTTTCTTGGCTTGCAGTTCCTTGCCTGGGGGTTCTTACTTTGAATTTGTGGGGCACCTTATTCTCTGAATGAATAGAAGATGCTTGGGGACCCAGCAGACTGACTGCACTCAGCAAATAATGCATGATAACCTACTTGAGTGTTCGTAGGCTAGTCCACTTGTTTTATCTCCTTGCCATTACACAAGTCTCTTTTGGAAGCTGTACAAATAAAACAATTCCCTCTTTGCTGAGGAAGTATTGATTCTTTAGGCTGATCCGTTTGGTGTCATTTATTTTTCCTTTTGTGCGTGACTGCAGTATTCAGTCATGTTCCAAAGGTTAACGGCAGATGAATCTGGGAAATCTGCTTTGCATTTCTATAGACGCTTTGTAATAAGTATAGCAGAAATGCAATAGTTGTGGTTGGTGTTGAGTTAGTTAAGGGACTGAGGATACTTATGCTGGTGTATATCCTTAGTGATGAGCCTCAGAGCAGCTGAGGAGGGTAAATGTGAGGTTCTTTCAATGTTTGGTCCCTTTACAGGCCTGATTAGCCGTTTGCACAAGAGTTTTTCCATTTGGTTATCACGTCTTACCCGCGATTCATTTGCCCCAAGTTACTCACAAGCCCAGCAGTGGATAGAAGCTTTGGAGCTATGATTTGGGAACTGGCAAAGGACGGTGAACCTGTATCTGGAGTCTGATCCCTTTAGGTTAAACCACTGCTTGGTCAAGCCTGCATCCATTTTCTTCTTTACTCTGGGTCTGCGTTGGTGTCTCGCTTGGCAGCATGGCTGAAAAGCTGGCAGTGGGAATGCTGCGTGGTTTGTCATGTGGCTTTTTCTTGCTCACTGTTCCCTTAGTTGGCTGATGCCAGCAGGCAGTTGGCATTCCCTTTGCTGAGACTAACCCCCTTGCCCATGTAGAGCAGGTTCTGCTGTCTTTTCTTGTCAAGTTTGTTAGGATATCGACTCTAATTCTAGGCTAGGGAATGAGCTGATGAGCACTAGCTTCTTCAGGATCTTCCTCCCATCCTTAGCTCCCCTCCCTTGTGCCCCATCACCAGACATGTCCTTGAGTGCTGCCAACAGTGGAGGAAGCAGGAAAGGAAAGATTGTGGCTGCTGGGTCCCAGAAATAGGACAATGAGAAAGTTGGGGTGCTGTAGGTGTACAGGTCTATCAGGCTGCATAAGGAAGGGTGGATTTGGACTCCATTCTCAGCCGTGTCGGACTTGCCGAGATACGGGGAAGCCTTTTACCTAAGCACCGTGCAGTCAGTTTCCTATCTGCAGAAAGAGGATAATTGCCATCTCATAGGCGTTTTTGTTGGTGAGTGAAACCTAAACTGGTAAATCAGGTTGCGTGATTTTTTGGTTTGGAAGGTGTCCTCGCATCGTTTAATAATCCTTGCCTATTCTTTAAATTCTCTTCAGATGCTGAAGATCTCCACTGGGGAAGTCTTCAAGAAAATAATCTGGTGGCACCAGGTGCGTGGCAAGAAGAGTCATTGTTCAACCCAGTTGGTCACCATCCTGTTCCTCTGACTTTGAAGCCACCAAACAGAATCCCTGAGATCGGCCAGTTCGATGACGCAGATGAGTGAGGTTTCCCCTTTGGGAGGGCAACGACTGGTCTCTGAGTTGAACCGGGTGTTGCGTGCTTGCAAAGGAGCCGTGTGACAACGTTACATTTTCCTTATGTTTTAAATAAGGCCGGAAATGCCAGACCTTTACCGAGGACTTTCTTTGAGAATATGATTGAACAAATAGACTTGATTTGTAGGAAGCAAAGACTTATGATTTCAGACTGAAGATTAGCCTTGGGGATCGATGCGGTTCTGTAGAACTCCTCATTTTTGTTCTTTTTAGTCTGTTTGTTTCATTTATTGATGTCTGGGAAGTATTGTTTTATTTGAACTTTGGCTCGAGGGCTAGATTAACCAGTTCTGACACATTGGTCCCTCCATCACTGCTGTGACACTTTTATTTTCTTTCCCTTTTATTAGGTATTAATAATTGAGTTTGGCTAGCATTAAATGTTCTGCCCCTCTTCCACATTCTACATCCTAAATAATGGGATCCTTTTGCTATGTGCTGAAATCTGGGTCCTCTGAGTCCTAAGAGGAATCTAGTGTTGGACAGCATTGTCCATAAGAAATATAGATTGCTTTCTCTTAGACACTAATTCTTTTTTTGTGCCTGTCAATACAAATGGGTGGAACTACAGAACCAAATGCATCAGTGAGAGCCCTTATAGCTTACCCATATGGCTACACACACATGCAGTCAGTTGGTCTATTTGCATGAATAAGTCTTAAATAATAGGACCCTTAACCAATACAGATTTTGTGTTTTTAAAACCCTGTCTCCCACTGAAAGGTTTTGCAGAGCAGGGACCTTCACATGGGTTTATCTTGTTCTTTTTCATTTCTAATGATAAGTCATGGCATCTTTGTGTTGCCAAACACACTGTTATATAAATATTTGTACTTCTGTAGCATCTTCCTCTGTAAGACATTCCAGTGTGCCTTGCAGACATGTTTGAATTAAGCTTCACAATGCTGCTGATAGGCAGGAAGCCAAATTATGGTTTTTGCTTTTTTGGTTTTTTTTTTCCTCAGCAGTGAGAAAACAGAGCTACAGTGACATAGCCACAGGCAAACCAGTGGTTGTGCTGGGAGCAGAGGTATATGTGTGGCTTCCTAATACTTGCATTGCATTTACTTGTATTCTAGTGGACAGCCTTGTGATAAGTAGACTGAGCAGATGAGCTGTTTGGCATCAACAGACTTGTGTTATTTCTCATATCTCTGTAATTCCTTTTTGCTTACGTGGCAAAAATTGAGATTGTGAAGAGTGTGCACTATTGGTTTAACTGTTTAAAGTTGATGGTAAAACTTCTGCTAGTTGAGCATGAGTACTCTATAAAGTCTTCAAGACTTAGGAAACTGTAGGCCACTTACAAGTCCTGCTACGAGGTACCTGCTTCTAGGGGCCTACTAGCACCTACACCCTCTGGTCTCTCCCCTATTTACATCTTGATGTTCAAATTAGCAGAGGAGGCTGCACAGAGGGCAAGGTATGCTTTTGAAGAGGTGGTCCCTGCCTAGTTCAAGGCTCTATCCCAGCCTTATCCCAGTCCTACTCTCACTGAGCCCTCCAGCTTGGGGGCCTCCTGTTCAGGGCTGCAAGCTCCTGGCTCGGTTCTGGTCGCACCCTGTGACTTCAGGATCCGGCACCTGCAATATCTGGTACGTAGGCAGCTAAGGACCTTGAGTCCTGTTTTTGCCCTGTCACCTCCTGCCTTACAGTCCAGGTAAACTCAGCCTCATTCAGCCACAGAACACACTCTAGTCCTTATTCTCTGTCTACTCAGTGCATTTTCAAGTTCAAGGTGTCCCCAGTCACCCCCTTTCAGTGGCCTCCACCTCCCCTACAGGCACAACCTGGCCCTCTGTGGGCAGAAAATGAAAACCACAAAATGCAAGCACCAGTCCTGGTTCAAGGGATTGTCTCACATGGGGTTCACCACACCTCTTGGTGGCAGGCTCCAAGTAGAAAAGACAGCAAAGCAGAACGTGCCCGGGGTACTTAGCTTGCTTTCTATGCAGGATCCTAGCTTCTCTTCACTCGGGGCTCCCTCCTGTGTCCTCTCGCTGCAGTCTGGACTCCAGTTTTCATGCCTCTCGGAGAAGGATCTGTCCCTGACAGCTTCCACAGCCAAACTGCCTGCCCTGGCCTGAGGCTTGGGCTTATGTGGGGCTTTTTTGGTCGTATGACCCCTTGACTTCCCCTCCCTGGGTCATTGGTCTCTGCTTGCACAGGGTCTTGGTGGCCGTCTTGCTTCCGCTGCCTGTGAGCTTGCCTTTGGTGTCACCACCAGGGCACAGGCAGAAGAGACACAGAGATGAAGTGGAAGAAAGCAAGGGAAGAGTGGGAGACTGTATCCATGAAACCAGGGGCAAGGGATGCATCAGCAAACACACAAAAGGTAAGAGGGAAGAAGGTGGAGGGAGGGGGGGTGAAGGAGGGGAAAAGGGCCAGGTACCCCTGGATCCCCCTCCCATCCTAGTAATGGGCTAGGGGCCATGTTACACAAATAGGTAGCACTCTTAACTGAAAAACCTTTAAAAGTGAATCTGTTATTAATGGGTCATCAGTGATTCATCTATAAAATACATGCAAACACACTTGGACCTCAGTGTTAGTTCTAACAAATTCATAGTGATTGCTTCTGAAAGCAACACCTATATTGACTTAATCCATCCCTGGGTATATGGCTTACTACTTGCAATTATGAAGGTGTTCCACCGTCTAGTGTGCGTGACTGAAATTAAAGTAACAAACAGCAGCAGAGAAAAGCCATTAGTTGAGCAGGAGAAAGGTGATGCAGTGATGCTCCATTTGCCTTTCCTTTGGGATCAGTGGTGTGAACAACAGCCTGGAGGCCTGGCCTTCTGGTTCTGAGCTGAGTGAATTCTAGTGCTGGTTCCAGAAGTGGAAAATGGATGCCATTATGCCATCTCCACATGGAGGAGTTGTCCTTGGATCTCCCCAGCCATTCCCTTGCCGCCCCCCCAAAATATGCATGATGTACATAGAGCACAGCGCAGCTGTATGGGCTCCCCATGCACTGCTCCTCCTCTGCGTGGCATGAAGGCAAGAGCCGTGCCCTTGAGGGTAGGGTAATGGGTCTTGCCCTGCTTTAAATTACTTCCCTATTAGTGGCGCAGCGTCAAGCGCTGTTTTCTATGGGGAGTGATGGCTTTGCGATGTTTAGATGCAGCTGCCATCTTTGAGTAAAATGGGAATTGAAGGTGCCCACCTCAGATTCAGTCATCTACTTATTTTGTTTTAACCTAGAAGACAGAAATTCAGCCCAAAGCACAACTGCTTTCAAGCATCTCACTGGCTACATTCAAAAGGCCACTTGGTATTTTCATTTCTCACTTAACCTTTGGCTGTGGCTGGCAGTACCCAGTATTGTTCTGCAGAGGGCAGCAAAAGCCAGTCCAGTCCCTACATTTGATTTTATTGGCTCATAGATTTGGGTAGCAAGTTTCCGATCTGGGGCTGGTGTTCTGACATCCTGGATCTGGGCTCATCCTGACTCTGCTGTGCTACTGTAAACCTGACTTACAGCACTTGTTCTTTTAAAAAAAAAGACAAAATCAAACAAAGTTCACCCTGAAATTGCACTAACAGCTTTGAAAAATGTATTTCACTTGGGGAACAAAACAAACAAAAAATACATGAACAAAGAAAGATTTTGCATGATCTTTGGCTTAATGTGTTGCTACTGTAGTGTCCTGCCCTGGCAGGAAAGCACCCATAGGAATAAAGAAAGATGGAACTAGCAGAATTCTATAGAGGTTAAATATCTTTCTTTAGAAATTACGTTTAAAAATAATATTGATTAAACTGACCTTATTGAAATAGGGTTATGTAGCTTGGTATTGGAATTCTTTTGAAAAGTAATCAATGCCTATTGCTCTGCAAACCTTTTCTCGTGTACTTCATAAATGGAAGACGCATCCCATTTGACCTTCAGTCTAGGTCTTAAACTGTTGTGGTTTTTACTTGGAATCAGGTGCATCTATCTTAAGTGCCTTTTCATTTCTTGAGAACTTGCCGTGGGAATTTCGGTAAGTGGCTCCTTTGCTGAGGTGTCTGGGCATATTTTTATGAGATGGGAAACTGAAAGAATGTATGATAGTTTTCTGTTCACTACTGGTGTAAAACTAGTCAACTAAAAATAAATACTGAGTTTTAAGCCATGACCCTTGTCCAGCAGAGAGGTGTTGTTTTCCCTTATGGGAAGTTGACAAAAAAGCTGACTTTGTACCTCTGAGGACCTGCTTGTTAGAGGAGGGCTCAGTGTAAGACTTGGGATTTGAATATCCTCAGAACACAGTGATTTGGAACACAAGCACAGACTTCTTAAAAGGCACTTTTCTCAGAGGAGTTGAAGCCATAAATAAAAAATGATAACCTCAACTTTACTTATGCTGGGTTCTGAACTCTCTCTTACAGCTCAAGGAAGAGAACATGGAGTTATTATAGTCATTCTTTAAAAACATTATCTTGTGCGACAGTGACCAAAAAAGACAATAAAATGTTGGGCATCGTTGGGAAGGGAATAAAAAACAAAATGGAAAACACTGTTATGCCACTATGAATCCATGGTGCGCCCACATCTTGAATGCAGTTCTGGTCTCCCAAGCTGAAAAAGGGCATAGCAGAAATAGAAAGGACATTGAGAAGGGCCAATAAGATGACCATGGGGATGGAGCAGATGTTGCATCTGGAGATTTGTAAAGATGAGGCTGATGGAAGATGTACAATCTTGTGAAATCTTGAAGGGTGAAAATAAAGAGATAGGGAACTATTCTTCACCAAGTCCCAGGGTGCGAGAAATGGGGGCCGCCTGCTAAAATGAACAGGTTGAAAACAAACCAGAGGAAGCATTTTTTTTTTTTTTTTTTACATGGCACATAATCAATTTGTGGGATTCATTGCCACAGGTGGCTGGACAGGCAGATTGTATAGTCAGGTTCAAAAAGGGACTAGATGTATTCATGGTGAATAGGTTTGTTGATAGGTGGATTCATGGTGGATAGGTCTGTCCCTAAACCAATGATGATCAATGCCATGGAGGGCATGATGGGATGGATTATACTATCTGTCTTGTTCATATACTCTCCACCTACTACTTGCCACTGTTAGAGACCAGATGTTGGGTAAGTGGACCACTGGTCTGAGACAGTACGGCATT